GTCCCCCCAAAGCAAGAGTTACTATGTTGGAATTCCATGGTCAAGCAAGATGTCTAAGTCTATCTACAGCAACATTCTGGGTCTGTCTCCATAATTTTGCAAAGAGGGAACTGTTATATTTGTAACACATTCTGTTATGCAACTAATCCAGCACTTTTAAATACGAAGGCTGAACATGAACATAATTATCCTTTCCATCCCTACTTTGAAATTAATGTCTCTAATTTACAAATCAGTGTAATAACACAGTACATATCCTTAGGAAAAAATGTAAAGAATGAATGAAAGTATTTCACGGTTACTTGACCTTGCTGATAACCAAAGTAGCCAACTGCTTAATTGATATAAATTAAGATTAAATACCTCTCTCCAGCCATATAAAAAAAACCTGTCATTTCTAAAAATTCTCACAATTGGAGATTCATTTGAGCTACTAATATTCCTTTTTAAAGACAGAAATAAGCCCATGAGAGCTGCCATAAGCCCACCTTTAATCAGACTGTTTTCCTCTTAAATTTGACTTGGCGTATTTCTGACCGAGGAATTTATGAATTGTTTTACAGCAGTATTAACTGGGATAATCAATTAAGATCCATTAATAATAAAGGAAGCACAAAGGGAGGACAGGGTAGTGTTGAGAGCACAGCACTTGGAGTCATATAGACCTGAGTGTGAGTCCCAGGAGTACAGTATGTTGCAGAGAGCCACTTAAAACTCTCAAAGTGTTAGTTTCTGCATATGTGAAGCTGGGCCATTAATAATAGCATCTGTCTCCTGGAGATGTGCTGAGAGTTAAAGAAAACTCAGCCTTCCTCTATCTGTCCTCCTGAGAGGGAATTAATTCTTAATGTCCTGAAGCATTCACTGTATCAACTGATTTAATATCTTTCCTAGGCATCTAGAATAGCACTTGCTATGGACCCTCCTTGGGACAATGAGGAAAATGTGACTCACAATGGATCTTTGGCTTAAAACTCCTGTGGAACTCAGGTTCCCAAAGCCCACAATGGTAAACAGTTCGGCTTGTGGCAGACACTGAACAGATGATCCTTACTGTTACCCACAGGGCAAGTGTAGCTGTAGGAGCAGTGTGAGAGAACCAGGAAGCCAACTCACTGTATGGTGACTAAGTCGCTGTGTCACTTCAGCAACTCCAGAACGTGCTTGAGCATTAAATTCTCCACATGAATTAGGAAACCTGTTCATCTCAAAAGGTGGCTTAGGATCACTTGATTCAAAACATTTGCACCTGTCCAGTAAGTGATTTAGGAATACACTTGACTCATACAGATGAATGGTGATACTAAATACTTGCCAGATCAGACAGTATCCAACCTCCCAACCTTAGATGTATAAGTCAAAAAATATATTCCACAAAAACGCTTGTCTTTTGCCCTCCATCTGAGGAATAAAACCTTGAGTTGAAAGGTGTTTATTCAAGGGTCGTGGACTACAGAGAGCCTTCATTCCTAACAGATACTCAGTTAAATATGTGTTGAATAATGATGGAGGACAGAGGATTTTAGATACTCAGATATTACTTCACCCTCCTCCAAAGCCCTCAGAGATGAAGTAAACCAATGCTATGAAGATACAGTTTCTGCTAACCTGATGTTTACTTACAAATATAATATGAAATAGTCACCTTTAGTTCTATCCTCTAAGTACGCTGTGAAATGCAAGTCTTTTGTGAGCTGACCTGGAAACATAACCCCAATTATTGTTTAAATGGGATGTTTTTGTGATAGAAGTTTAAATTCTCCAACATTCACATTAGAGAAGTCAGAAAGTGCTAACAAGATCATTTATGTGTCTGCCTTTTAAAAAGGGCACAGCCAGCCAGGCTCAGAATGAAGTCATGCAGGGTGTTCCCTGCTGTCCATGAGATGGAAGCAAGGGCTTGGTTCCTTAATCATTTAAAGAATCATAAACAGACACGAATAAAGACTCTGTCCCAGCACCTGCAAGGCTCAGAGCCAGCAATCATTCTAATGGGATTATTTCTCAGAGTCCGTAACAAAGCAGAAAAGTAGAATTCCATTGTCTCCTCTTTGGCAATTTTCTCTCAATTTCTGGAATTAATAAATGGATTTGTTAATAAGAGAATACAGTTGGGAAAATCCCATTTTTGGAAAATATCATATTAAATAGTTCAAAATTTCTACTAACATTGTGAGAATGCCTTTAGATCATTTTAATCAAATCAAATCAATGCATACAAAGGATACCAATTATACATATATACATGTTTTATATAAATACATTATATATCCATATAATTTATATCCATATTAAATTTACTTATGTTATATAGATTTATTCTTCCTAAGTGTTAGGGTTCAGGTGTGGAATGTCCCCTAAAACACTCATGTATGTGTTCAGAGGTGGGGCTTTGGGAAGGTGATCGGATCGTGGGGTTGATACACTCATCATGGATTGATCTTCTGATGAGTTTGGGCTGACTGTGCTGTTAGGAGGGTGGCCGGGTCTGAAGAAGTGGTCACAAGGGGTGCGGGTGGCCCAGCAGGATCATCTCCTTCCCTTCTCCTCCCTTTGCTCGCCACTTCCTGGCTGGCAGGGCTTGAGAACATTTTCCTCCTCCGTGTTCTTCTGCCACGCAGACCAGGACTGAAACCGAGAGCCAAAACAAACCTCTTCTCCTATAAGTTGTGGGTGTTGAGTGTTTTGTTCCAGCAACAACAAGGTGACTAAGACACTATGGCATATCATCTCCAACCCCATTCTTCCCATCATACAATTTCCCCAAAGGAGTAGTACCTAATATTAGTACATTAGAATTAAAATCACCCTGTATAGATCCATCTATTCAACACCAACTGTGTTTATTAAGAAGTGGTACGGTTATCACCCACACGAGCCATTCCTAATTTGTCACACACTAGAAAAGAACGTGACAATATAAGTGTGATCATCTAGGGAAACTCCTTCATTTGATGAAAGAGGAAGACAATGGCCAGAAAGTTGGACTACAGGTATTTCAGGGGCACAGGATGGCAGCTGGCATGCCAGCCTCTAATGCACTATGACACACATACACACACATGTACACACCACACACACCACACTACTCATATTCTTTTCAAAAGCACATAAACTTACATGTGGTTTAAATTGGGGATGGGGCTTCTGAGTAAAGTGCAGAGGACAGTCATGGGAACACTTCATGGGAATGTTGACTCCAACAACTTATACCCGTTGACATGCAGAGAGCAGAGCTACTAGGGGATCCTGAGACCAAATTCAGTTTCCCAAAAGACTGTCTTCCCACAAGGTGGCTGGCATCTCAGGTTACAACAGCTCTGAGTTGAAGTTGTCAGTGTTTGTTTTTTTTTATTTCTAACTTTTGACAAGTTTTGTGAAAAAGTACAGCACTGTGTGATAGTAAAGGTGGCCAAAAAAAAAAAGAATGTCATCAACCTTGGGTAATCCTCTCCCCAAAGGGCACCCTGCGGCCCTATTCATCTCCTCTAATTGGTTATTTGCAACCTATCACTCCCTGATTCAAACTCTGGGGTGATATGCACTTCACTGGATATTCATTTGCATCCAAATATTTTAACCTGACTTTTTTGGTTCTTTGCAGCCTGTTAAAAGCTTAGAACTACTTTCTGCTGCCTTCTCAGGCAGGCATTCAGGTTGACATTGCCAACTCTGCACTAAGTGCACTTTCCCTATGCAAGGCTGCCCACTGCTTTCTTCTCTGCTCCTTGTCCCCCCGGCATTCTCCCTGCAGCTGGACAAGGTGGAGCAGGAGAATGTACAGCCTCTGAGCTGTCTCCAGGCCCAAATTTTGGGGCATGGCTCTTCTTCAGATGCCACATCCCTCCACAAGGGTAATATAATACTCTACCCACCCATCCAGGGACAGGCAATCAGATCCTTCTCTCAGACCTAGGCTCTAAATCCAATCCACCTGCAATCAAGTTCAGGACATCTTTTAGCCACCTCCACCACTCCAAGGACATAGCCAAAAGAAAACTCATTTAGGTGCCATTGTTTTTGTCTTTCTGGAAGAAAGTCCAGTCCTTTCTCACGTATAGGAGGGTCCCTTTTCTACGGAAGGTAGGAGTGATGTCAAGGTGCCCATTAGGCTGGGAGCCCTGCTCCCAAAGCTGCAATGCCTGATGCTGCCACACTCCAGCTAGGACCAGGAAACATCACTGGTGTCTGTTCCCTTCCCAGTCTCCATGTAACTGCGGAAGCAGGGGGCACCGCTGAGGCAGAGCAATCTCCCCACTCAGATGCCTTCTTGCCCCCTTGCACCTGAAGAGGAATGGCCTCCCTGCATGCATCCTGAGTCCCACAGGGGCCTGGGGAGCTGAGATGAGTGCCTGGCACCTGCTTCTGCCACCACCACCACCTGCCCCTCACCCGAGGATCACACCCAGGTTTAAACCTAACCACCAGGTTTAACCTTGTAATGAAGGAAATGCCCCCCACCCCACAGTGTCTATCTCCTTCAATCAGGAGGAAACAGACTCCATGTGTGCATGTGTAGCATCCACAGGTCCTCAATAAACACATCACCTCCCAGACCTGCTTCCCTATCAGCCACAAGAGCAAGATCTCAGAAGCTGAGTCTTCCTTCCCAGGTGCCCAATTGTCCAGGAAAACGTGGGGAGGTGAATCTCATTGCTAGCCGCCACATCTCCAAGAGTGGTCCCCCTGTGCCTGTGGCTAGGCCCCAGGACGCAGCTCTGGCCAACAGTTCTCCACCTCAGGCTTGGGCAGGGCTGCAGCCAACTCTCTCCTCCCTCCCTCCCTCCCTCCCGCAGGACCCCCGGCCCCCAGGTCCCCCGGTCACCGCTGGACCCCAGTCCCCTGTCATGCACACCGCCCCGTCCCCGAGCTCTCCCCGGTCCCCCCGGGGCTCAGAGCACCCTGAGACAGGTGCACGGCCCCCGCCGGCCCCTGCCTGCCCTCCTGTCCCGTCCCGTCCCGTCCCGTCCTGTCCCAGTCCCAGCCCCCGCTCAGCTCACCCAGGCCCAGGAACAGCAGCAGCGGGGGCGGCAGCGGCGTGGTCGCGATTCTGCGGCGCGGGGCAGGGCGGGCGGTCACAGTCCCGGGCCCCGTCTTGGTCCCTGTCCCCATTCTCGTCCCCGTTCCCGTTCCCCTTCCCGTTCCCGTTGCCACTGCCGTTCCAGATCAGCGCGGCCGACTGGAGCTGGCAGGAGACTGCGCGTCCCGGAGCTCCAGGGCAAGGGCGCCCCCTATTTATGTCCCGCCCTTGGCCGCCCGAGCCCCACGGCCCGCTCCGGGTGACAGACACCTGTGTCCCCTGCCCCGGGACGAGTGGGGTGGGACCCGGGACAGAGCCCAGACGGGGGGTGGGGGGGGTGGATCTGGGACAGGGAACCAGAGTGCACCGGGCCAGGAAACACCTGAGTCTGCAGTCATTGCTGACAGTCACAGCCTCAGATTCAGGGCAGGGGACTCAAGGGTCAGCGTCATGTTCAGGACGCTAAGGTGACCTCTTTGCAGCGCTCACTGTCTGCCCATAATTTAGCTGTCTGGGAACGCAGCTCACCGAGATCTACTTTAGAAATTTCATTTACAATGTCTTCATCCATTCACTCGTTTATTCCCTATATTTATATTTACTTATTGTACTTCCTCTATAATTCTCTTTATTTTAGTTAGGTCTGTATAAACAAGAACATTGTTGCCTGCGGCACTGTGGCGTTGTGGAAAGGTGGAGTTTGGTGTTGGTGGAACAAGTTATTTTACAGACACTCAGTTTTCAAGGACAGACAATTATGCCCAATTTGACCTTATACTTTTAATATATTTGCCTTCCAAGTAGCCAAAGGTACAGGTGTTAGGTGCCGGTCTGTGTTTCTCTTTTAAGAGCAATACCAGGATGCACACCCCTTTAGAAGATGTATTTCTATTGCATCAAACTGTCCACCAAACACTATTTTGGACATGAAATGCAGTTCAAGTGTCTGCCCCTTCCTCCAACCCCACTGTTGGAATGAAGCAAATGTATCACACACTTTACTTGCACAGGTGACATTGCATTCCAAAACCAATTCAAATATTTTAGAGTCCCGAGGTAAGAGATCCACAGCTATTAATTTTCCAGACTCCATTCTAGCCCCACACAACAGCTCATACAGCATTGGTACACAGGGCAGGCAAGGGCTTAGAGAAGCCCAAAGTTGGGGTAAAAGGTCACAGTATTCCAGATGACAAGGGCAAAACTAGAAAAGCAAGGGGCTTGGAATCACCTCTCCCTCTCTGGACTTTTCCCCTTGTCAGTATCAGGGCCTCTCATCCCCAGAGGGCACTCCAGCCAGCAGCTATCCTATTATCTCCAGCAGAGTGCTCCAGTCCTGTTTCCTTTTTCACAGGAAATAAATAAATAAATAAATAAAGCACACCTAAGCAAAAAGTACTACATGTTTGTTGAGTGTTGTACATTGTCAGGACTTCAGGTAAATGTTCATCATTCATGCCATTCAAATGGCAAATTAACTTTCTCAGGCCACTAGAGTATGAAATAGTGTAATTTAATATATTAAATAGGCCAGATAAATTAATAACCTTCCCTAAGGGCTTTGTTTACTGCCAGAAATAGTAAAGTGCTCCCAGGAAAGTGCCCTCTGCATTTTCTGACACCAGAAATCCAATCTCTTCAAGGTTAAGAGACTTTTCCTTTCTTCCTCTCTTTCCTCTTTCTCTTCTCCTTTTCTCTCTCTTCCATCTCCTTCTTCTTCCTCTCTCCCTCCCTCCCTTCTCCATTTGCTTATGAAGGAAGATAAATTGTAGAGGTTGAAGGTAAAAACTGATTTTCCCTATCACTAAGCTGTGTCTCCATCCTTTAGACATAAGCTAAGCTGTTACTAAAAGAAGAAAAGATCAAAATCACTCCAGAGTTCCAGGGTAGAACTTGTGCCCCAGCATCCCCAAGCTGGATGGCTTGAATGGTGTCTAGCCCAAACCAGGACCAGGCAGGTAGAACCAGCCCTCCCAAGCCCGGTATGAGGCTCAAGCAGATTCCTTTGTGGCCTGGAAGAATCAGCCTTCTCCTCCCTCCCACCCAGAGCAACCTCCAGCAGGCACATTCCTCCCCCTCCTCTGGACAGGACAAAATAAGCTTGTAGTTTTTTGTGGAACACATCAGCAGACACACACGTGGAGTTGGGAAGGAAGATTTTGGAATGCATTCATTCTAGGTCAACACATTCTCCAAATGTCCATTGAAATTACTTAATTCAGTAAGAATGTGTGAATGAGAAGAACGAAAGATTTTAAAAGTGCAATGTTGTACAGTAATAATGAGCATAATACTTTATATATCATTAAAATTAATAGCATGGTATAGAGAAAGAACTTGCAAATATTTTTATTGAAAACTGTTATATTGAAATTAGTCTGTAAGGAAATACCAATGAAAAATCACAACTGGATTCTGTTTTCAAATCTAATTGGGAGAAAGTAGTTATTACTGTTTTTTCCTTTTCCTTCCCACTTTATAGCACCTTCATCATTAGTCTTTTGGGGAGCCTTGGTTTTATATGTGTGCCCCAAACTTTTTGGTTTGCTATCTTTTGAAAATGGCAACTCAACACAAGTTCAGCAAATCTCAAGCAGAATCCTCTCTGGGTCTGTAAATTTGATGGTTTCAGTTCACCATTGTAGTGATTTGGGGCCATATTCATATATGTTTTTAAAAGAAGCTGCTGTTTAAAATAAACTTGGGCTTTTCTGCAAGTCCAAGTTGTAGGTGACTTGAGAGAGTCCTTGACTGGTGTGACCTGAGTGCTGTAATGTGGGAAGCCCCTATGTGCCCTTCCCTGAGACCCCAGGAACAGTGGCTTCCTCCCTCCCACCTAGTCCTGGAGTCCCCTAGTATAGACACCCTCTGCATAGGATGACAAGGTGGAAGATCTGAAGAATGGGTTTAGGAGTCTGTTCAGTCTGTGTGTGTGTGAGTTGTCACTAATTGGCCAAATCACAGTGGCTTCCCCCAGCCTCCTCTCCTTATCTGTCAAATGTGATGCAGTGATTTGCAGACTTCATGATCCACAATAATACATGTCTCCAAGGTGAAAGTCTGGCAGAATAGAAGTTATTCAATGAATGATGGGTGTTATGTTATTAAATTTTACAGATTTCATAGACAAGATCAGGAGGGATTGGTTTTCTTAATAACCCTGTATTATTCCTAGTTAAGAGGAAGAGGAGACAAAACACAGAGTAAGACAATGGTGGAAAGTCATCATGGAGCTGAAATTCCATGGCCTGGGGCATCATTGTGCCTCCTCCTGATCCCTTAGACTCCTCTGACCTTCTCCACCAACTCTTTTTCCTCTCCTCTCTTCAACACTGTAGATACCAAGACAGCAAGTAACCAGGACATGAGAACTTACTGAGCAGTGTCTCAGTCCATTTTCTACTGCTGTGACTGAATACCATAGCCCACATGGATGATAAAGAGTAGAGGTCTATCAGCTCATGGCTCTTCATGCTGGAGAGTCTGAGGAACAGGACCACTGCATCCATAAGGCCCCCTTCCTGCACTGTCATAATTCAGGAGTGTCACACACGTGTCAGAGCCAGTGAGCCAGCCCAGGCTCTCCTCCTCCTCTTACAAAGCTACATATACCATGACTATGCCCATCCTTGTGACCACACATAGTCCTAACCACCTCCCAAAGCTCCACCTCCAAACATTATGGCACACACATTTGGGGATTACTTTCCAACATGGACTTTCCTCAGATGCATTCAAACCATGGCATTCGTCCCCTGACCACTCAGTACATGTCCCTCTCATGCAAAGTACACTCATGCTATTTCTATAGTCCCAAAGGCTTTGGGTCCATCACTAGCCCAAAGCCCAAAGTCCAGTCTCATTTAAATGAGACACTGGCACCAGCCACTCAGGTCTCTATGCTTGCTGCTCCCCCTGAAACAGGGGAGACTATTTTGGTGAAAGGAGAATGAGGGGCTTTTTTCCAAGCCAGCTCTGAGAAGATGGAGGAGCTCTGATTGACTCAAATCATCATTTCCCTGTATCAGGGGTGAAAGGAAGAGAGGAGAGACAGAATGCAAGGAGATGATACAGCATACAGAGCTCACACATTCATGTAACCCCCCTCCCTACTTCTTCTGTCACCAGACAGGGTCCCAGGAGGACCCCAAAGCTAAGTTAAGGAACCTAATCCACTCTACTTGCAGAATAAGTTTGCAGGTTTGCTGACTCCCGTATCAGAAAAAGAAGTGTTTTATTAAGCATAAATTAAAAGATATGCACTCAGAGAAGTAGAGAGAGAGGGACACATTTCCTGACACTGGGAACTTTTATGCTTCTTTTTAGGGGGCAGAAACCCTGGGAAAAGGTGCCCCATCCCCAGAAGGTTGCTGGCCTATACTACAGAGATGAGCCCACTTGTTTTTTAAGATGAACAATTTAAGCATTCTTTAGATTCTCTCAACCTGCTCCTTTAATTAGGATCAGCTTCCTGCTCTCTACTTTCTCAATTAAGCCAATCTATGGAGGGTCAGCATTCCTGGGGAATTTTGGGTGTGATGGGTCTGGAAGGGGAGGAGCCTAAATGTAACCAAGGGAATGCAGATATGGACTCCATGAGTGACTGGAGCCAAGACCTAGACGTGGTATTCTCCAAAGTACAATTTTTAGTAATGATTTCCTTGTCTCCTTTCTACTTTTATTTCTTCTATCCTCTCTCCTTTCTCCCCTCTTCCCTTCCTTCCCTGGAAAGGACCCAGGCTCTGACCTCCTGGTCCAGCTGTCCACTCATCTGGGGTGAGGAGAGGGGAAGTGGTTTACACTTTGAGCCGGGGGAAGTCTAGAGAGGCAGCTGGTCTCCAAAGGAAAAAGTTCTAACTTTTAAAGATCTGCTTTGTCTCTGGGTTACAATGTGAGACTCAAGGCATGATTCATCCTGTGGAAAACCCCCTCTATCTATGATAAGCTTGTGAAATAAGTTATTCACTTCCAGAAAACAATGGTGGGATGGGAAAAGGACAGAGAGTCCTGCTCCAAAAAAAGAGAAGTAGGCAAGAAGAAAGGAATAACTGGTCCCGAATAAGTCCAAACCCAACAGAGGAAACAGCACTAAGCTGGACAGACTTCTCCCCATATCCTACACACATGTGTGTTCAAGACCCGGCCTCCCAGGCCCCAGAGAGCTGTGCCCTGTGGCCTTGTTGGGCTCAGCCCTTGCTTCTGGCCTTGCTGGTTGGAGCCTGTTGTCTGCAGCTCTTCTCCATAATCACTGTGATGGTGGGATTCTGCTCCCAACACATACTGCTTGGCACAGGCTCTCTGCA